AATGTGAAAGCTTGCTTTGCGAGGAACCACAGATTCTAAAAAGTTTATTTGGTCCATATCTCAACCGTAAATAAAATATCAAACTTAAATAAATACCAATCAGGCATCCTTATATGGAACCTCATCGACATTTTAAAACTTCTTTCTAATCAATCGTGCGCCCTTACTTTGTCAATCTCAACACTTAAGAGCTGTTTCTTAAATAAAATTAAAACTCAATTAGCTAGATTGAATTTTATATTTTTACTTCTTCCGATTGCTGAGCCTTAAACAACATCATCGAGTTACAAAAAAAAAAGGAGTCCGCTAAATTTGTGTTCTAGTAACTTTATTTTATTAGATTATGTGTGATTTATACAGAAATTTTCTATTTAATCATGATTTTTTTTTACTCCTTTCATGTCACTGTATATAAATTTAATTCATAAATATAAGTATGTTATTTTCTATGAGGAAAAACAACGCAAGAGGATGTCCATGCGACTATGCCTTTAAAGTTAAATAAAAGTACGATGTGACAGAAGGGTTATATTAGGTGCATGTGGGAAAACTTGCATTGCATTTTTGAAACTTGAAACTTGAAAGTGATTAGCGGTTTGTGCCTAGCTTGTTGATTACTTTGCCAAAATTACAAGCTTAGCCTTTGAGGTTGCAAGATTACTTCCATTTTTATTTATAAGTGATTTTCTAAAAGCTTCTAATAGTTGTTGTAACGACTCTTCACATTCTTATTCACAAGTTATATTTTGCAAAATACTATTAGCTCCGTTTCTTAATTAAAAACTAATTTGATTTTTAATTTAATCCTAAATATAAGACTTCATTTTATTTTATTTATCATATTTATTCTTTTCTTTTAAAAGTAGACTTTGTAATTCAATCCTAAAAGATCTTCGGAGCCTTAGGGGGTGTTTGGGTTCCCCAAACCATGATTTGGGAAAAAATCACCCAAACACTCTTAAAAAAACCAAAATCATGGTTTTGGGAAAAGCAAAAAATTTTTGCTTTTGGAAAAAAAAAAAGGAGAGTGTGAGAGCCTATAGGATATGTATCTTGTTGTTTTTTTATAAACATATTTTTTTATAAATATATTTAATCTTATATCTTATAAATATATGTACATATTAATTATTTATTAATTATATTATCTTATGTATTATTAATTATGTTAATAAAAAATATATTATTAACAATTTTATTCCTTCAAATTAAAATATATCATAAAATATATTTTTTCTGTAATTATCATATTAACTTATGCCTTTTTTTAGTAATTTGTACATGTAAAAAGTGCTTCTGGTAACAACTATCCAAACCCTCTCACTTCTCAGAATCACTTTTTCACAAAATTTATTCTTCAAAAAATCTATTCTCTCCAAAATCTATTCTCCAGAAACTATTCTCCAAACCATAGTTTAGTTATATCCAAACACCCAGTGTAGTTTCCTGCAAGAACATAAAGGATAGTGAAATCTCACCCCCTCTGGCAACCATATTCACCACGTTCAAGGAATCAAGATGGAGTCCAGATACCAAGTCTCTTTCTCCCATCAAGTATAATATAATAGTTACACGTATTAAAAGTGACATTAAATAGTAGTTAAAGTTAATATATATGATTAGTAATGATATATTAGAAAATACAATAGTTATTTATTATCAATAATTAACTTAACAATTTTTTAAATCTATTCAAATTAGCCAGCAAACTCCTATATTAAGGAATGGAGGTAATATATAAAAAAAGCAATTGATTCCCCCCCCCAAATAGCGCTGGCGCCTAAATGCCACTATTCTCCTAAGCAATTATGGTGAAAACATCGATTAAGTTAGAATTCATTTTATTTTGTTAAGAATATTATAGAAAAGATAAAGTAATTTTTAAGAATATTAAGTTATAAATACAGTTAAAAAAGGGAGTCTTTGTATTAAAATACAAGTTTTTAAGGTTTCAGCACACAAATTAAAAAAATGTAATATTTTTTGCCATTAGATTTAGAAATATAATTGACACGTTAAAATATTGACAATAATGTTAAACCTGTCTTTAATTAACATGTTGAATAAATTAAATTTATTGGGGTAAATAAGGGTATAATGAGAAAACTCCTAATAAATGACGCTTTGGGCTTTTTAAAAAACCCATATAAAATTAACAAAAACAATTCTCACAAAAAGACTTATATTTTGAAATAAAAAATATTTATTCATTTATTTGAGGAGAAGCAATAAAAGGATATCCCATCCATGCCTTTAAAGTTAAATTAAATAGAAGAATAATGTGAACAAGAAGTGGGGTTAATAATTTGGGTGCAAGTGGGAAAACTTGCATTGCATTATTGAAAGTGATCAGCGGTTGTGATTAGCTTGTTGATTAGCCAGCCAAAATTACAAACTTAACCCTCAAGGTTGTCACCATCATGGCCCCGTCATTAAGATATACTCTGTTTTTGTACCATGGTTCCCGGGAAACCTTCTTGTCCATCACAAATTCAAAGTCCCAATTTTCAGATGCACACAAATAATGGAGGCGAGCACATTTGTTGAAATGACATGTTTCATCAATCAATTATACTATTCCCGGCTGTTGACTAAGCACAAAACCTTAACCCTTTAGATACTCTAATATTACTTCTGATCTTTCCTACTACATCCGGTCCTTAATATAAAATCTTGTTTGACTTTTATTTTGATTCTAAATATAAGACTCCAATCCACTTTACCTCTCATATTTATACATTTTTTCTCAAAATAGTCTTTCTAATAATGGTAGTTCTAGCCAATACTCTTGATTAGTAAGGATATTTTAAGAAAAACAACACATATTTATTACAAATAACTAACTTAATTTGTTTCCTTAATTTCCTCAAATTAATTACCTAACTCTTATAATTAGGGCTGGAGGTAGTATTTATCCTTTTTCCCCTAAAATAGTCCTTGTAATAATAGGAGTCTTAACAAATATATTTGATTAGTAACGATATTTCATAAAAAATAATACTTATTTATTACAAATAACTAATTTAACTAATTTTTTTAATCTATTTAAATTAGTCAACTAATTCTTAAAAAACAGAAGCTACATATATATATATATATATATGCGCTTTCTCCCAACTTGCGTTTTCATCTGAGCCTTTCCTCTGAATGGATCCTTGACCAAACCTACAGTGACTTTTAATATTATTTATTAACAAAGTTATTAAATCGACTCGCTTTTATTCTCTCCACACTTGTAACCTTTTCCCTTTCCCAAAATAGGCGTAAAGAAATTCATAGAAATTGATGTTTAACTGTTTGTTTGACTTTTTGAATTTGATGCCCCAAGTTTTTCAATTTAAATATCTTATTCAAAGTGCATAGGCGGAAAGTACGAAAATATACACCTTACATATTTTCTTAGAAATATGCGAAACCACTGGCATAGAGTATTATACTGGGACAGCTAAGACATGATTAATGTTTTAAAAGATGCTTCAGCATCATGATATAGTTTAGGATGCTCAACATAACTAAAAATATATTTTAGAGTATTCATTATAAAATATTTTAGAATACTATATGCACTTAAAAAATATTATATATATCCGTATGCTATGTCTGGGTTTAAAATTTTAAAATTTTAGGCAGTCAAGAATCATGCCGGGAAGTTGTCTTTTTTTTTTTTTGTGCCAAGTTGTTACCGTTTAAAATTTTGGTATCATTTCATCTAATGAAAATTATTATTTTTAAAGTAAATTAGTCATTAATTTCAAAATCATCTATTTTCTAATAATTTTTTTTTAACATCAAAAGTTCGACCGCCAGGAGCTAGAGCTTTGGCAAGCAGGAGTAGAGAGATTTATTTTGAACATATAATGACAATATCGTTACCAGAGAAATAAACCTAATTCCAAACAAAACTCTAAAGAGACTGAGGCACTTCGGGGACCAATACTAGGGAGTGTTTGGATGAAACCAAATCATGGTTTGGAGAATAGCTTCTGGAGAATAGATTATGGAAAAAATAGATTTTGTGAACAATAGATTTTGTGAAAAATTGATTTTGATAAATGAGAGTGTTTGGATAGTTGTTATCAGAAGAATTTTTTATATGTACAAATTTTATTAAAAAAAGCATAAGTTAATATGATAATTACATAAAAAATAGATTTTATAATATATTTTAATTTGAAAAAATAAAATTGTTAATAATATATTTTTTACCAACATAATTAATAATATATAAAATAATATAATTAATATGTATATATATTTATAAAATATAAGATTAAATATGTTTATAAAAAAATAATTGAGGAATGTTAAAATCATATTATCGTTGAGATATACTCTACAGGTACAATTGTACTCTCCCATTTGAGCTAGAAGCAGAATGGATTCACTTCTTCTGAAACCATAGTTTTGACCCAAAACCATGGTTTCTGTTTTTTCCTGGGTGTTTGGCAAGTTTGGGTCCCAAAATCATGGTTTGGGTCCCAAAACCATAGTTTTCTATGTTATCCAAACATGCCCTAGATTAACATAAAATTTTATAAATATTTCTCTTAAGAAATTAGCCTACAAAATTGGGCTGGCTCCTTCGGGTCTAAAAGAATTGGTAGACACGATTGTGGGCCTCCAAAAGCACCCTGGGGATTGGGCCTGTTGGTTAAATGAAAAGCCCAATTAGATTTGCATGGCAATTTGTTAGAAATTTTCAGAACGGGCCATCAGGCTTCTTCAGTCGCTCCACTCGTCGTCGACGCCTCCGGCCTCAAGCCCTCAGCCTTCCCGTCTTTCCCCATCTGAGCAGTCCGTACAAGGGAGTTGCTTAGTGGGCCCGCGTTAACAGTTCCAGGCCAATGTCCCCTACACACGCGTGTTTGAACCGAATGTCTGGGTCGGGTTGATCTCCTGTGAGCGAGACTTGTTGAGATTTTCTCCGTCTTCGTGTGTTGTTGGTGTTGCTTAGCGTGTTTTCTTCATCAGCAACAAACCTTCGTAACGGTTATTTCCTGGATCGTTGTTTCTTCAATTCAATGCAGGTTGACGAAGATGGAGGGAATGCTCTGTTTCCCTGTTGCTCTCTCGACAGTTCGTTGTTCTTGTCCCATGCCATGCGCACCAGGTGTTTGATTCCTTGCCTATACCAAATGTAGATCGAAACGGCTGGCATTAGTAGGCTCCGTTGTTGTTGATGATGACGATGCATATTAGGCCGTTCTTCTCCAAGTTTAACATAACTATCATATTAAACCAACAAGCTCGATCCTATGCTCGTGACCCTTTTCCCAGTAAAGTTTCCCACTACCTATACCGTGCCAAACTGATAGACTCTATTCGACTCGTTCTTCGGTCCAGTGGCCCCAGTTCACTCCCTTGTCTTCTAAACGATCGTCTCCTCGATTCTTTCGTAGTCACTCAGGCTCTTCGTTCTGCCCCGTCTGCTAATTCTGCCCTATGTCTTGTGGAAGAGCTAGAAAAAATTCAAGGCTTTTCACACACCAAGAACACCCTCCATGCCCTGGCCACTGTGCTCGCCAAGTCACAACGAACTGCAGAACTCAAGTCTCTCATTGACGCTATTACTGCTGGGAGATTTGGTAAAGTACATGTCAGTTTTATGAACCTCATGCAATGGCATGCTGCGGCCGGGGATCTTGAGTCAGTTCTTGAGTTTTGGGATAAGTATAGATGCACTGCCAATAAGCGTGCCTGCACTGAATCGTATAACATTGTTATGGCTCTGTATGCGAAAAAGGGCATGGACTCTGAGGCAGTAAGGATTTTCCACAAGATGCTTGATGAAGGGGCAAATCCGAATTGCAGAACTTATACAGTTATGATCGAGCACCTTGTGAATTCTGGAAAAGCATTGGCAGCCATGGAGGTTTTTAGAGTACTACCTTTAATACGGATCAAACGCACATTGAAACAGTACTCAGTTCTGATGGAGAGCTTCATTTATCTTAAACGGTTTGAGGAGGTCAAAACCTTACTCAATGAAATGCAAGTTGATGGAATACTGCCTAGTCGAGCCATGTGTCTGTCACTGCGGCAGATTGCGGAGGAAGGATTTCTTAAGGATGACGACTTCTTTAAAGAAAGTTTCTCAGATGAAAGAATCAAGAATATAGGATATTCTATTGACAGTGGTGATGATGACGAGGATGAAAACGAGAATTCAAGCCATGCTCGTAAATATGAGGATGGAAAACAGTTAAAACCCTGGTTGGACCCACAGGCTTTGGCAATTGCCTTGCAGAATTGGGGTCCCAATGAGGTATCAGCCCTAGAGGGTGCAAACTTTGTGTGGACAAGAAGGCTGGTATGCAAGGTCCTTAGGAATTTCAAATCCCCAGAAACTGCTTGGAATTTCTTCTGCTGGGTTGCTTACCAGCCTGGATTTACTCATGATATATACACAGTACAAAGAATCATGACTCTCCTTGCACGCCATGGATGTACAGAATTGGTTGATAGGCTCATATCCAAGATCAGAACAGAGGGAATGAGGATGCCATTCAGTACCATACGGCTGATAATTGACTTCTATGGAATATCAAAGAATGCTGATGCTGCTATGAAGGTTTTCAATGTTGACCGAGAACTTTGTGGGCCCATGTCAAACTTTCATTTGATGCTTCTCTATTCCTCTCTTCTAAGAGCATTAACAAAGTGTGGGAGGAACAATGATGCCCTGGAAACACTTGACGAGATGATTTTGAATGGAATTTTCCCAGATATTCAGACATTTTCTGGTCTAATGCAACATTTTGCAAACCTTGGAGACATAAAAACAGTGCAGAAGCTCTTTACAATGGTTAGACAGAGCGGTTTAGAGCCAGATGCTTATCTTTATAAGGTACTAATCCAAGGCTATTGCAAATCGGAAAGAGCAGCACTGGCATGGAGGATATTTGAAGACATGAAGTATTCAGGTTTGATGCCTGATTCTGACACTAAAGAATTGCTTGTGAAGAGCCTTTGGAAAGAAGGGAGAAGGAGGGAAGCGGCTGCAGTGGAGGAGAGTTGTGAGGAAATAAATGAGGTCCTTCCACTTGCATTGCGTGGTCATGAGTGGTCTGTCAGCTCTGCGGATCTCACAAGAGTTTATAATATCTATTCAGAAAGTTTTCTGCTGTCTGGAGGCTAGAGTTATGGATATGTACCCGAGATGAGTTCGTAGTACTTTTAAACATAGTGTCAGACATCTTTTAAAAGGTCAGAGCTATGCCCAACCTCGCAAACTTGGGAGGAAAGGACGTTGTGGAAGAGAGTTGAAAGGAGAAAAATGAGGTCTTTCAGCTTGCATCTAGGAGTGATATACGGTCTATCTCTTGCATCAGTCATAGGAGTCATACTAATTGTTTGCATATTCGTTATCTCTTGGCGGGATCTGAGTTTTTACCTAAATGAACCCTTATACAAATAGCACAATCAAGTTTACTTAGGTTTTAGGAAAATGAAATTTTCAGAATCCGAAAGCCGAAGAATCTCCAGTTGATGTATGGACATTTGTATTCAAAGTTGGCATCCATCTTTCAGATTGATTTGCAAAGGAATTTGTTTCATACAAGAGAAGAGTTTTGATAGTTAGCTTAAAAAGCCATAATGCCCTTTGACATTTAACGATAGGACTTCACGACTAAGTAGCAGCCATGTGTGTTTGACCCTTTAGTTGTGTGATAAATAATTAATAAAAGAGAAGAAAGAGCCTCACATTTAATAATGATAAATACAAAAGAAAAACACATTTGAGATATACTGAAAATGGAGAGTCATCAATCATGTAGCTTCTTATCGTTGTAATTAAAAAAGAAAATTCACAAACGAGGTCAAATATAGTTTACATGACAGATATGCGTATTTGATAGGTCTGTTCCATAATTCAAGGCGAATTCGCATATAAAATTCAGCATGTTTTATCAACCACAATTAGAATGATTGCTCGTTAAGAGATTGGGCTTTGAAATGACATGCAGGATATATACTACCATAAAAGTTACACAAGCAAATAGAAATCATACAACATTAGCGTGGTACCTTTGTTCTTTCTGTCGCGTTTACTTCTTAACAAGATATCAAAGCTAAGTTACATGACCTCCTTAACATGGTATCAGTGCTTTAATAGCTTGTAAAATAACCTCAGTGTCTTTTGACTTGTAATTGTAGAACTTTAAGACTTCAGTAACAGGCTTTGTTGTATTAATTATTTTTAGTAATTTTTATTTCCAACAAATTTGTCAATGTAGTGCCAAGCCATAAAATCAGCGCGGTAGCATTTCAAATGTAGAAGCATCACATTCAAAGAAAACATTTAGTATTATTTGAGATGTTATGGGAGAATGGTTAAAATGACTTTTATAATGAGTATTTCATTTTGGAACTTATAAGTTCCTTCTCATTCTTTGCTAAATGTAATTGGCCAGCTGAAAAACTTGGTGGCGGATAGTTATTCACTTGACGATATCTTAGAGTCTTCGCTAAAAGAATGTGCTTGTTTATCGGGTATTGAGATAAAAATTTTACTTAGCTAGTAATTAATGTGTTGATTTTTGAGAAAGCTCAACATTTTCTCCATTAGATGAGATCCCGCAATTATCTTTAAGCCTTTATAAAAGCATAATTTGATTTATGAATTGTACCAATGGAACAGTTATCGCAAGGTTATCCCAAGTGCATAGTCTGTTGAAATCATAAGGGTGAGTGCCTGATTTTACCTGATGTTTTGCCCTTTGTATTACTCTATCCGGATTAAGATTTGCATTATGATATTCTTGTCAGATTAGAATTTCTTATTTTGTCACCTCTTAACTAGTCTTTGAATAAACCCTGCTTTTGATGATAGATTGATTTTAGAGTAATTTAAAATTTTCGTATTTGTGGATATTATTCTTTCATTTTGCATCATAGGTGTCCGATGAACATTTTCACAGCTGAATAAGTGTGTCTCGGATGATAGACTCTTTTTGATCGCCTACTGTTTAAGAGAGGAAAGAAGCAGAATTCTGAATTTCTGATTCTGCAGCATTGCTGATCCACAAAATCTGCAGGAAATGGACGTTGGCAGAGTCTCTTGTCTATACATGGACATCTGCTTTCAGAGTCGGCATCCGTCTTTACAATTAGGACAACATGATTTTGCTGTCATTGTCATGTCATTGGTAAACGTACTGACTTTTGTGGTATTTCTATTACACAATCATCTTCAATATATCAACTTCAATTTTGATGAGTATCTCTTGAGGTTTATTTATGATATCAAGTCAGATTCAATTGGATCTTCCCACATGCTTAGCTACAGATGTGACGGGGACTATTGATGATTCTAACATATAAAATTATAATCCAGCCAATTCTAGGTTTGAAGATGTCCTCCTGTTATGCCACAGCACAACACACCAAGAATCCTTTTAGTCCTTTAAAAATGATGAAGAGACGTCAATTTGTTTGTTCTTTAGGCGTGGGTTAGCTGAAATGCCAACTTGCCGTTTTAATTCCTAACACAAGCATGATTCAGATTGGGTAGGCATTAGACTTTTTCTTCTTCCAAATTAAAGATTCTCGTGGGAAAGGTTAAAAAATGGACTGCTGTGCCTTCTTTTTGGGCATATATTCTATTCGTCCTTGCAATTGGAACAGTTTGTGAAATATGAAAGAAGTAAAAAAGATTATATATCAGTCATTCAAGGTAAAGCGAAAGACAAAGTCACCTTTTGATTCTGATATTTTAAGATATGTTTTATTAGCCATGAAAGCTTCTTGCAAACGATGCCTATTGTTCATCACAACAAACTTTCTTTTCTTTTCTTTTCATATTCCCTCTGCTAAACTCTAATTAGTTCGCTGCATTTGACATTATTCTCTCTCTGCTGAAGCCTCCATTTCCAATCTAAACCTCTTTAACAATGGCCGTCTTCCTTCCTTCTTCTCATACTATATTTCTTGCACTCCTTTTCTTTTCCATCACCCTTGTTACAGCTCAATCGCCAACCAACAACAGTGGAACAAACTTCTCATGCCCTGCAGATTCACCACCTTCCTGTGAAACGTATGTATCATACTATGCACAGTCTCCAAATTATCTGAGTCTAGTGAACATATCTGATGTATTTGGGATCAGTCCTTTGTCCATTGCAAGGGCTGGTAACTTATCAGAAGAAGAAAATAAGTTGATTCCAGGCCAGCTCTTACTGGTTCCTGTGACTTGTGGTTGTACTGGAAACCGCTCTTTCGCCAATATAACCTACGAGATCAAGCCGGGTGATAGCTACTACTTTGTTTCAACCAGTGCATTTGAGAATCTCACGAATTGGCATGTAGCGCGAGAGTTTAACCCTGGTTTGAATCCAGTTATTTTGCCGATAGGCACCAAAGTGGTCTTCCCTTTGTTCTGCAGGTGCCCTTCAAGAAGCCATTTGGCCAAAGGCATAAAGTTTTTGATAACGTATGTTTGGCAACCTAGTGACAATGTTTCTGTCGTTGGTACCATGTTTAATGCATCTGAGATGGACATAAGGACAGAAAACAAATACCAGAACTTTAACTCTGCAGCCAACCTTCCAGTTTTGATCCCAGTGTCGGAGCTTCCAGATGTTTCTCGATTTCATTCATTACCAAAGAGAAAGGGAAACAACCATCGTCTTTTGGTTATCGTAGGTACTATATTGGGATGCACTTGTCTGACTGTTCTTGTAACTTTTTTACTGGTCTATGTTTGTTGTCTAAGAAAGAAAAAGATTAGTTTGAAAAAGAGTGCTTCATTTTTGGAGACAGCAGATAAGCTACTTTCTGGGGTCTCAGGTTATGTAAGCAAGCCAACCATGTACGAGTTTAATGTAATTATGGAAGCAACCATGAATCTTAATCAACAGTGCAGGATTGGGGGATCAGTGTATAAGGCCAAAATTGACGGGCAAGTCTTAGCAGTAAAGAAAGTGAAGGAAGATGTCATGGAGGAACTGAAGATTCTGCAAAAGGTGAATCATGCGAATCTGGTGAAATTAATGGGCTTCTCATCAGACGACAATGTCGGAAATTGCTTCTTGGTTTATGAATATGCTGAAAATGGATCTCTTGATAATTGGCTGTATTCCATGTCTGCTTCAGACTCTTCTTCTGGTTCTGTGTCATTTCTCACATGGAGCCAAAGGATTTGCATTGCCCTAGACGTGGCCATGGGTTTGCAATACCTTCATGAGCACACCCAACCAAGAATAGTCCACAGGGACATCAGAACAAGTAACATAGTTCTGGATTCAAGTTTCAAGGCGAAGATAGCGAACTTCTCAATGGCAAGAACTTCTACGAACCCAATGATGCTAAAAACAGATGTTTTTGCTTTTGGGGTTGTTTTGTTGGATTTGCTGACAGGGAAGAAAAGCATGATGACAAATGAAAGAGGCGAGGTAGTGATGCTGTGGAAGGACATGAGAGGGATCATTGATGGAGAAGATGAGAAGAAGAAAGAGGAGAGACTGAGAAGATGGATGGATCCTAAGCTGGGAAGCTTCTATGCCATTGATGATGCTCTGAGCTTGGTTTCCTTGGCTGTGACTTGCACTGCAGATAAACCTTTGTCCAGACCAACCATGGCAGAAGTCGTTCTTAGCCTGTCGTTTCTGAGTCAATCATGTGCTGGCGTGAAGGTAGAACCATGGACTTCTGCTGGTGGGTTAGATGCAGAAGTTCCTCAAACGATAAGTCCCATCGCAGCTCGATGATCTGAGTTTTTCAAGTTCAGCCTGGTCTTTTCTGTTTACTGTGTCTCTTGTTAATAATAAATGCCAATGTCTATGAAGCCTAATTTTATTGAGGAATTACTATGTTAACAATAGGTCTCCGGTTAGTGGCTATAGTATACGCCTTCTTCTTCTTCTTCGTCAATTTCAATGACGAAGAAAAAGCACCCATCTGGTGCTTCTTCCTGGATCCACAGCTTAAAATTTTCTTTTGCCGGTGGGTGGGTGTGCTATTCTTCATCTTCTTCTTCGAATCACGAATCATTGATGATGATGACGACGATGAAGATCCCATTTCACAACTCTTCCTCTAACGTGTGTGTCATTTTTTAAGCATATTAGGTATGAATGAGTATCAATGAACTGCTAAAGATTAAATAAAACAAAAGGCATCATTTTCATCAAAACCATGGCTTATTAAAAAAAAAAAAAAACAGTTATTGGACAACGCACTCATGCAATGCGAAAAGAATAAAGAGTTCAAGGTCAAAATAATAGGTTATGTGCCAGCAATGCAGAACTGATACTGAATCTCTGATGCATGTTTTGAGAGACTGTGAATATGCAAAGAATCTCTGGCTAATGTTTTTTTTCTCCCACTAAACCATGGGCATCTTCTTATTAGAGGTAATTTTATTTAAGACACTATCGGACATTAAATGTGGATACCTCTCCTAATAAAAGTTTGAATCTTAATTCGTCACGTTATAAGATACTAACCCTTTCTGCTAAACCTGACCCCATTGATTAATCTTTAGCTCTTTTTTTGTTTTTTTTGGCTAAAACATATGTATTCTTCTATTGGAGACAATCTTATTCGAGACACTATCGGAGACTAAATGTGGACATGTCTTCCAGTGATGATTCAAATCTTGATTTGTTATGTTACAAGAAACTAGTTCTTTTTACTAGACCTAACCCTATTGGTGTCTCTGGCTCATGTTAGGAGAAAGGAAAGATGGTCCGGAATTTTTTGTGTTGCAAGGGAAGGTTGGTTTAGCCCAAAGGCCCAAGACTTTGGGGGAGTCCGAAACAAGAGGTAACTTTTGTTTTGGGCTTTAGCGCTCTCTTGCACACAAAAAAAGAATCAGAAGGTACTACCAAAAGAAGCTAATAGATACGCTTACCCCAGAAACATCGTTTTCAGAAGGGACCATCTAGTTACTTCCTATTCAACCGTTTTCAGTTCGTCTCATTTTTCTTAAAAAAAAAGAGACTTCGCACCTAACCCGGACCCATACTACTGCCGTAGGCTGTGCAGGTATTGCGATTCTAATTTGAACGTCTTCGCATGTAAAATCAGTTGGCAATATTTTCTTTAATAATAATTATTTTTTTTGAGAAACTTTCATAATTATTATTCATAACATTAAAAGTGGTGCTGAAGTCCTTTTTAATTGTATTTCGTTAAGTTCTTTTTCAAAACTTGAACTTAGTTTTATTTCTGCTTTTAATGCTGGATGTTTGTAAGCTCTTTTATCCTCAGTAATAGCATTTTGACTTTCTCCACACAAAAAAAAAAAACATTAAAAGTGGTGTAAAGAAGGGAAAAATTTAAAAAAAAAAGTAAAAATTGAGCTAAAGATTAAATTGATTGAGATTGAGATTTAAACAAAGAGGATTGTAATAGAATTCTATGAAAAGAAAATAATTATCAAAAAGTCCTAATGACAAGTAAAAAATTGTCACTTTTTACTTTAAAACTTTAAAACTTATTAGTAAGCTACCACTTAGTTGTTATTAAGAATTAATAAAAATTATATTCTTTTCTTAAAACTTAGTTACAATTCTTCCATTTAAATATTGAAGTGATAGCACGTGAATTATGAATCAATGTAAATTTAAATCTTTTTAGCTCAATGACATATTATTTGAACCAAACAAAAAATCATTCATTTGTTTTTGTTTAGCTCGGTCATTATGATCGATTTTTTGTTCGGGGTGAGTATTCGGTTTTTCGGTTCAATTATCAGTGATAACCGAATAACCGAATAGAGTAAATTTTAAATACCGAATCGAAACCAAATAACTGAACTAACCGAAACCGAATTAACCGAAAATTTTAGTTTGGTTAACCAATTAACCAAAATATATATAAATATGGAAAATAATTTTAAATTAAAAATAATAATAAAACACAATTATAACTATTAATTAATAAATATTTCATCATTCAATGTGATTTATTATAATAATATTTATTGAATATAAATATATTTAAAAAGTTCACATATACCTACATATATATTTATTATAATAATATTTATTAAATATAAAAATATAATATATTTATTTCGGTTATTTGGTTATAACTGATTTTTTTTTACTAACCGAATCGAACACCGAAACCGAATTGTTTAAAAAATAAAAACTGAATATATAACCGAAAACCGAAATAACTAGACCCAAAAACCGAATTAAATTCGGTTCGGTTCGGTTTTCAGTTATTGTTCGGTTTTGCTCACCCCTATTCTTTGCCCCATATTTTTAAGAGTAAATTATAATATTAATAGATGAAATATCAATTTAAAATGTTGGGCGTGATCGGATTTTTTTAATTATATTATTCGTTTCATTTGAGGTCTATTACTATAATTAAAATTATAAGAATTATGGGCACCCATGGCCATAATAAAACCTTGAGTTTTGTGTTTCTCTCATCTCATGCCCATGTGAGTCATATGAACATATTTCAATGTCATGCGTCTCAGAGACTCATGAGTCAGTCAACAATGTAAACTTCGTCCACAAGTTGAAAAGTGAACATATTCCTCACGGAAATCAATCAAATGCACAAAGCATAATTAATAATGTGATGTATATAATATATTTTATATTATTTATTAACAAATGTATAACGGCCAGAAGTGTGCACAATACTGCTGCAAAATGTATGCATGATAAAAGGAAAATTATTAAAAAATAAATACACAAACATGTACAATTTTTTTTTTAATTACAGAGACAAGTACTAATAAACTGAAGTTTTAGATGAGATGGAACTTGTTATTTCTCACTTTAAAAAACTCAAGACTGATTTTATAACGTAACCTGCATAAAAATAAGTTTTATATTTAAAAACGTTAGAATAATATCAGGGTTAAGCGCAAATCTTTTGAATAATACACCTACAGACACACACTTTTTAAGGTTAAACAAGGAATATATGTCTACCCTGTGGTCACAATGGAAAAGGAGAGCGTTCTACCAAACTTTATTGATCAATTAAATACTGCCAGAAGAAAATTCAACAAATCTCATAGGGTATTTGGATTACTGAAAAAGTGTTTTTTAAAAATATTTTTTAAATCAAGATAAATTTTTTTACGTATTTATTTTGCATATTTCTTCATAAATTGAGATAAACTTCTCTGCATATTACTTCGTAAACTGTAAAATTATTTCTAAAAAAATAAAAGATTAGTTTACATCCAAATCCTTCCTTAACCTTACGAAGAAAGTAAATCTTGTTTGACATAATATAACAAAAAAGAAGAAGAAGAAGATAACTGCGGAGGTCACAGGACTACGTTGTGATATTTCAAGATGATTAATTTTTTTACAAAAATATCATATTTTTGTTGAAAATATGATAGAAAATATCGAATAAATTTTTGCCTAACAAATTTATATACTTGCCAACAAATTATCCTGAAGAGGGAAAGTCTTCTATAGAGAAGCAATCATGCTATACAAAACTACACTTTGATATTTTTTACAAGAACAATAGTCAACAAGCATGGAGGAGAAAAGAAATTATTCTTAGATTTTGTTTACAATACGAAAAGAAGAAGAAGAGGGATTCATAAAGTATGGCAATATTGCAAGTTACAGATTTCAGAACAATTAACCAATCCTTAAAAAGGGGTTTTTGGGGGAAAGGAAATAAAGTTAAAAGGGGGGCAAATCCAACGAGATCCAGATATCCAATACCTTTGCTGTTCGGATTGGTGTGTTAGGACAGAGCGTCAGCCCACTCCCGGCGACCGATCCTTCGCTCCGCCGCTCTCGTCGGCCTCAGGAGCCACGGCGTTCAAATCCAATACTTCATTGTTCATGGTCACCACCACCTCCTCCTCGTTCTTCTTCTTTTTCATCAATGACAACGCGTGATCACCGTCGCCTCCAGCATCATCGGCGTTTTCTCCATCATCCACCGTGATCTCCGCCTGCTCCAGCGCCTCCCTCCCACGCCTCCCTCTCTCATCAAAGTACTTCACAGCCACCTTCATCCTCCTCAGTATCGCAAAAAACTCCTCCACCTCCTCCTCCGAAGGGGCCGCCGCCGTGCTTTCCCCTCCGTCGCCAGCATGTCCCTCCTCCTCCTTCAGCTTCTTCAATTTCTCTCTCTTTTCCGCCTCCACCTCCTCTCTAACCACCCTCTTCTTCCTCTTCTCCAGTTCCATAACACAGATGAATCAATTAGAGCCACGAGCTCATACAGACATATATAAATTATTTGGAGTGAAAATGATAATCTCTCTCTCTCTCTTCTTGTTCTTGTTCCTTTGGTTAAGACAATAAATTGATTGATCACAATATTTCAACCGGCAAATTCAGAAATCGGTGAGCGAGTGCTTTGCACGTGCTCTTGCCCGACAGGGACAATATGGTAAATAACATTTCTGAGTTTTTATTCTCAAAGAACTTTTTTTTTCTTTTTTTCATTGTCAAAGGACAATTAACCTGAGTATAAACTTTAGACCAACATTGATTTGGTAGATTTGTTTATGAATCCATTTTAAAAAAAGCAGAGAAATTTTGAATAATAACCTATTACTCCTCCGGTCCTTTAATATAGGACCCAATTGTTGAGTTGGTTTTGATTCTAAATATAAGACCCATTTATCATATTTATTAATTTTCTCTAAAGTACCCCTATGTATACTCCCTCAACCATAATCAAGTAGAAGAGGGAGATGAGGTATTAAGAAAGATGATTATGGTATTTTAGGTAAAACATGTCACATTTCTTATAATTA